TAATATGAGAGCTCTTCTAGTGCCAGGAAATCTAAGATGACCTATCTCCTTCCAGGACTTCTCACTTGTAGTAGTTTTGACTGAGTGTCTTTATGGCATGGTATCTGTATGATGGTTGCCTCTCATGGAGCAGAGCCCTAAAAGGAGTTGCCCCAATGTGCAAATTGTTAGCAGGCTTCTGGTTGCAGCTTAGCTGGTAATGTTCCATTGGCCAAAACAAGTCACAGAGCCATTACACAGGAACATTGGACATCTGGAGGAATGATTCATTAGGGGTGCCTGATGTAACAGTTTACCATAGATGTAGAAAGAGAAAGGAGTGAATATTTGCCAGTCAATAATCTCACTTAACACAATTCACAAACTCTTGGACTTTTTTTCCTAAAGTTTTTTTCTGTTATGTGCATTCTGACCATTTTACTGCATATTATAATTTTCATTGGAGCTGAGATTGGGCTACCTTATTAAAGAAGACCAATTTTGCCGAAACCAATTTGTCTCAGTGGATAGAGCATCGATCTGTGTACTGAAAGGTCCCAGGTTCTATTCCGGTCAAGGGCATGTACATTGGTTGCAGGCACATCCCTGGAAGGGGGTGTGCAAGAGGCAGCTGGTTGATGTTTCTCTCTCATTGACGTTTCTAGCTCTCTATTCTTCTCCCTTCCTCTCTGTGGAAAATCAATAAAATATATATTAAAAGAAAGAAGACCAAATTTTATAATATAATAATAAACCATCAGTCTTTGCTCACGGGACAAAAAGTCCCACATTATCATAGACAAAGATATCATTGCTTGATTACTTTTTGATTGAGACTGAGTTAAGAAAAATTAACAACAAGGTTTGTAGGTAACCAGAAGTTTGTAAATAATTTAATTATCATAGCAGTGACTATCTTTGGTAACCCTCGTCACATTCTCTTGGCCACCTGTGATTGCAGGCACCATGCATTGTGTGGCACTTTGTGAGCCCAGACTTCTCTCTGGATGGTGGGGTCCTATTATAAGCACATTATGTGTCTGTCAGCTTTTACCTGCTGGGCTTTCTCTGGAATGTGGCCTGCAAAGAGCACTGCTGAGAAGTGTGTGATATTAAGGGTGAGGTATGTATTTCCCTTGGAGACAACCCTTAAGCAGTCATCTTCACTTCTTCAGGTGGGCAGAGGTGGCAGGTATTCATGCTTCTCAGAGTTCCCAGCGGGAGTGAGCCCTGACAGACACCAAGTTCACAAATAAGCTCTTGCACTTGTACTTTTTATTTCCCTGCCTTTCTGCACTCCTTCACATCAGCTTACAAGGCTGACCTATGAATTAAACTACATGTTCTCAGTTGTTTTTCTCAGGCCCTGCTTTCAGTGGGACCAAATTAAGATATTCACTTGCCACAAATACATTAAAAGGACCAAAGGACCAAAATTAGGCGATTTTTAGGTTTAATTTTAAAAACAATTTTATGCTTAATTCTGTTGTTACGTTTATCCTCACCACCATCATCTCTCTCACTCATAGTGAACTAAATGAAGCATGAAAACATATTTCAAGTCATATGTGAAGAGTTTCATAAAAGTCTATAATTATAAGATTTGGATTTAGCAAAATGCCCCTTTTATGGGAGGAAATCAAGGAGTGAAGAAATGGCATGGGGACAGATATTGAAGCTGGTGTCTGATTTTCACTGGGAGAGATGACGGGGAAAAAAGAAAGAAAATAATTTGCCTAGTTAATTGCTCTATCTTGTAATTATGCATTTTCTCTTAGTATTTTAGAAAATAAAGGGACAATTCTAGAAGGATATGTAGATACTCAGCATTTAAAGCTCATTAATCACAATACACTCATTTAACAAAATTGAACTCCTTCTAAGAGTGTGATGTTAAAAGGTATATTATAGAATTTTCTCTCCTTGTGTTGTTACTATGTTTTTTTCACCTAATTCTTACCCATATAAATTCACACATAACATCAAAATTTGGACCTCTTTATGATCTTTGCTTCTCCTGATGTGATAGTTCACAACAATATTTGAAGTTGAAATCCTTTCTCTACAGTGACTTATTATTGGTCTAGGAAAGGTGATCATATGTGTATACAATTTTATAAGTTAGCAAAGCTCCATTGTGATCTGCCTTCAGTGCCATCACAGTTTCAAACTTCTGAACGAGAGGTACTGAGGTATAAATGGTTAAATTATGACTGATATGCTTCAAAATAAATCTTTGTGCTATAATGGAAATATGTATGAGGTCTCAAGCATATTTCATAATAGATTTAATACTGCATTTCTTTTGAACCCCATGACGTGCCTTCTCATGGTAAACAGCTACATGAATAAAGAAAGAGTTCCTATTCCCTTTAAAGTATGAGCCATACCAAAATTTAATAAAGTAAGTAAGTAAAGGTAAAAATGTCATCACACTCCTAAAATTTGCTGTCAATATTTCACACCTGTATGAAAAGCAGAGAGATGTGTCTGAGCAGCAGCTTGATAACATTCCAAACTGCAACCCCTAATTAACTCACCTTTGAAATATCAGCTAGATTCTAATGCGACCCATGCAGCCTATTGGCAGGGAACCTGACAACAAAAGGCATCTTTAAAATGCCAAGTAGAGGGGAGAATGCTATACTATTTGGCACATAAACTATCATCCACCTGTGCAGAGGAAATATGCTTTTCCACTTTGTTTCTTATAGATGACCAATTAGTTATCTATACTTGGCTTAAGCCCAGTAAATTATACAGTAATCTCTTAGCCCAAGGAGTAATAGTAAAATTATATTGCAGTGGACTTAATACTAGCAAGTTAATTAAATTGGGTTAAAAAGATCAACTACTTTTAAATGATCTCAACAGAAATCATTTAGAAAAGTCTACAGATCATATAGTCTGCATCATGAGGTTAAATCCAAGTTGAACACATTTGAGACTAGGAAGGGACAAAGCTCCTACCATATAAGAACTGAATCATGCAAGTATTTGAGAATTTAGTCTGTTTCTGTAAATTAGCAAGGAGGCCTCACTATAAATACAGAGTGAGAAAGTGGTGGCCATTAAAATTTTATGAAGCTGATTATTTTAAACAGCTTGGAATGATAAAAATCACTCACTTGAGGCTGTGAACATCATGTAAATGTTATAGTAACAGTTTTTTCATCAAAAAATGACTAGATTTTTTTTTCCCTTTTCTAACACTAGTTACTCTTATAGTAATCAGCCCATTAAAGAAAATCTAAGAGCATCTGTTGTATTGAGAAAATGTTTATTGTGGCTATTAGAGATTCAGTCATTAAATACTAAATATTCTGGCAACAAAATGTTGTATTAGAAAGAATGAACATGGTCATTTGGCAATGATAGGTAAAACTAGTCTGGTCTTATTTTAATGATTCTCCGAGAGGAGATGGTAACTTGATCCATTTTACAAGTACTGACACAAACAAAAACTGTTTTTCTTCTATTCTCTCACCACCTTTCATCTGTTATTTTCAGAGCAATACTGATAACTACTGTCATTATTATTTCTGTGTTCTGACTTCAGGAAAATTAGAGAAAATCCCTTTTGATTAGATGCTCAAAGACAAAAATTACTGAACTTAGAGGAGAGTGGCAGGGAGATAATCAGAAAACAGGATGCTGTGATCTTGTAAGGTGTGAGTTAGGAATCTCCCTTAAATGTGTGTGTGTGTGTGTGTGTGTGTGTGTGTGTGTGTCCCTTGCTCAATCATGCGCTCATATAGATCCCTCTAACCTTTTTTCCAGGACTTTCTCTTAAGAGAACTCTGTCCCTGATCAATCAAATCTCTAGCCCTGTAGTTTAAATCCACTGCCTGGCTTGCTTACTGAATTTCTTCAGGTTTTCCCAATTGCTATATCATGTATTCTCCAGGGGCCCAACACACTTTCATGTACCCTGTTTTTCACTGTCTCTTTCTCCAGAGCACTAGCTGGCTGTCGCAATTCAAAATGTCTGGCATGAACACAGTCAGCTGAAGAACATGATTTACTTAATGATATTTAAGAACACAGAACTTATTTTTTATGGAAAAAAATATATTTTACTGCTATTAGGTCTGTATATGAATCTGGGATTTAAAAATCTTAGACTTCATTGAGTCTTCCTCATTTTTAGAAGAGGATTGACTGACTTTTTCCAAAAAGCTGCATTGAGTCCTAAATCTTGAGCCTTTAAATGGCATTATATCCATGTTATGGTTTCTGAACCAAAGGCATTCTTTTTTCTGTTAACCTCTTGAGGTCACAGTAGTGGTTTGAAGTCTAAGCAACAATTCTGTTCAAAGAGTAATTCACAGCAGGATGTGTGCAGTCAGGGAATTTGTGATTCCAGCCTTCCTATATATCCCACTTTACTTTTTTAGAAAATTTGGTTCTGAGGCTACTATAAAGGCAGCACCCTTAAAACACCTCATTTTCTATCTCTCCCTGTACCAAAAGCCTTATATAATGACATTTGGAGATGTGTTACCAGGATTTTCATTGCACAATGGCATTTAAAAAATACCCAGTTGCAGGTGTCTCATTTGCTCGCTCTAGAGTGCTTTTCACTCATCCTTGAGAAGGGGTCCAAGGGTACCCTCCAGAGCGAGCTGGAACATGACCCTTTCAAACAATGGGTCATCCCTTCCACTTGGGCCTTTGTCTGAGTGGTGGGGAAAATATGAATAGAGCTGTACTTTGTTGAGTGGCATTAAGGGCATGGACTCAGGGTCCTGACTGGCTATAATTGAATCCTGACTCTGTTGCTTACTAGCTGTATGAATTAGGGCAACTTCTTTAAGCTCTTTGCACTTCAGTTTCTTTTATAATGGCATAATCTGTGTATTGTGAACATTAAATAAGTTAATGTATATAAAGAACAGTGTCTGTTACATTATAAGTGCTATGTATGTGTAACTATTATTATTATCATCCTAATATGTGTCTATATTGAATAACAAACATATTGCTATATCTGATTGGTTTCTTTAAAAAGCTATGACAGGAAGCCAGCCAATGAGTCTGCTTACCTGAATGTGTTCTGCAGAAATTTAGAGAAAGCTGGCAATAGCAATGCCATGTAATGAGCCTTAAAGACAATGAAGTACTTAAGGTCCCTGAAAATGACTATAAGAGGGGAAAAATCTATATGCAATTGGAAAAGGAAAGAAATACTTTTGTTTGTTAAAATTGCATTTACTGCTGATGTACCAGTTCATCAATAATATTTACATAAACCATGGGTTTAAAAAACTTAAGATTTTCAGTTTAACTGAATTTTAATATTTTAACAAACATATAGTGTGTTCACTGTGTAAAAGACAACTGCTGTTGTGGAGGCATATCAAGATGACTCAGATAGAAATTGTTGTCAAGTAACTTGCAGAAGAGTAGGAGGGTATGATGTATAAAAGCAAACATAAAGAGAAACTATAAAAGCTTTTTGCCATGGATTTGCAAGAAGAGAGCAAGAGAGAAGAAGAGAGAGAGAAGGAGAGAGAGAGAGAGAGAGAGAGAGAGAGAGAGAGAGAGAGAGAGAGA